TTTTTTTTTTTTTTTTTTTTGGATTACCCTAGAAACACCAATGACTTTTACTTCTCTGCTCACATCCTGAGCGTGAGCAAAATTTAGTTTTGTTGGTGGTTCTATCTTGATTTGTTGTGATAGTAGGATATCAAACCATTCAATACATCAATTTAGCACTCATTCTGTAACTTGATGATAATCTACGGAAAAAAAAGAAGAAGAAGAAGAAGAAGAAGAAGCTTGCTCTTATATAGTCCGACGTTAAAACATTGATCCAGAAAATAATGACCTCACATTCAGGGAAACATTAATAAATAAAACTATGTAATTTAATACTTCCTTTGTTTATTTTTATTAGAATTAATTTAATTTTTAAGATATAAATTTAATAATTTATATGAACAAGAGAAAAGAAAAAATAAAACGTAAGAACGTCTAATAATAACTATATAATATGTAGGGGATGAAATGAAATCTAATTTTATTAGATTCATCATGTGATTATTATTAAATATCTTAATATTTTTAATGTCAGAATGTCTTGATTTTCTCTTTTCACATATAAACAATAATTAAAATTTTTTTTAATCAAATAAAAGAACTTAACAAGAATTATATATAAAAATAAAAAAAATTTCAATTCTTGTTTGTATAAATTGTCAAATTTTCATTCAAAATTTATATATTAAAAGTAAAAAAATCAAATTAAATTTACTGAAATTAAATAGAAGGAGTACATACTAGACTACATAACACTTTTTCAAAAAAGAAATACTTTGTATTAGTATTACCTTTGTAATGTCAAATTACTAATTAAAAAAAGGCACTTACATTTATAGAAATTTAAATGTAAAATTTTAAACAATTTATAATAACTTTCTGTCTAAAAAATTGATAAATCAAATAAAGGCGAAAGTAACAACAGCAAGTACTGGAGGAGGGCCATTGTTATTACTGAAAAATAAAATGTTAGGGTCTCCCAAAAATATTAGTAAATTTGTTTAATTTAATTGATTTTCTTTGTTTATAATTTATTAAAATGTTTAAAAACATTAACCTATAAAGAACATCCTTGTAATTTAGTGATTATAATCCCATTATAAGGGGACTTCTCATGTTAAGTTTGAGGTATGAGCTTCGAGTCTCACCCTCAATATTTCAAAAAAAAAAACATTAACATATAAATTAATTTTAAATTATTAAATAATAAATATTAATAATTTAATTAGTTGTTAATTTTTATGATTTTTTTAATATGTATCCTTAAGGGTGTATATTTTTTATCACAAATTTGTATTAAAAAAGTAAAATTTGATATTTAATTTATTAATTATCTAATTAAATTTATCTTCTATTAAAATTAATATTAATTTTTATATTTTTTATTTATTTATAATAAAAAATACCCTTAAAACCCAAGTTTAAAAAATTATTTTTTTCTCACCTTATCGACAATTATTAGTTAATTATTATAATTATTAATTATTTTTAACAATCAAATTAAACACCCAATATTTTTGTGTGACTTTAATATTCTTTTCATCAACAGTAAAATAGGCTTAATTTAATGATTGGTTTATTAACAATTAACTTAATTTCATTTTAGTTTAGAAAGTTAGTTTTCTTTTTAAATAGTTTATAAACTTTGTAAAATATTTCAAAATAGTTTACTACACAAAACTTTCATTAATTTTAACAAAAAAAATTAAGAAGTTAAATTAAAATTAAAACAAAGTAACTTCAGTTAACAAAGCAGTTCACAATAAACTATGTAAATTATTAAAACATGTCAATAATTGTAGTTTTTGTTACAAAACAAAATTATCAAAACGGAAAACTGAAGTAATATATGATAAAAGTTATAATTCCTAAAACAATAAAAAAAAACTTATCATTTTTACAAAATTAGTTTTATCTCAAAATTAATTTTAAGGAATAAAAATTCATAAAAAATATAGTTGAAAATCAATTTGATCAAATGAATTGTAACTGCTATTAGAAAGTTAACAAATTAAACTAAATTTAAATAAAAATAAAAATAATAAAATTAAAAGTATTTAAAAATAATAAATAAAATACAAAAATACAAAAATTACTAAATTATTTACCAAATTAAGCCCATTAAAATAACAAATCATTAAAGCTTCGCCGTACCGTTAGATGTAGCAATCAACATCCTCTTCTGTCCAGCCCAGTGAGCCCATCGAAATTTAAAAATAAAGTCCCCTGTCCATCTTCCTTCTACAGTAACAATGAAAAAAGAGTTTTGCTGTCCATTGTACCTTGTTTCCGTTGTATCTTGTTTGGTTTAAATTTGGATTATTTGGTGGCCCAATAAACTATCAGATGGGTGATCCATTCAAAAAAAACAATGAAAAGAGACAAAGCAAGGAAAAATGACAGGTTTCTTTAGCATGTGATGTAAAAAATGTTATAAAAAAATTTAAGGAGGTATTAATTATATTATTTTTGAATTAATTTATATAAAAAATAAAAAAATAATTTTGTTTTAATATTAATGTCAAATTAATGTATTTTATAATCCAACACTTCGAGACTTACTGACTTTTTTTTACACGACATGCTTAGGACTAATAAGACCTGAGTTCTAATCCTAGCTCTTTCTTTTTCTTTTTTTCGAAAAAATTTCCCATTATTGAAAAAAGAAAGGAATGTATTTTATAATGCAGAATAAAATATTACCAATCTGGTAGGTATACCTAACTAATTAAGAGATTGTTTGTCCTGACATAGTCCAGTGATACACAAATCATCAATGGCACTAATGTGGGTTGTTGAATGGCTCAGCTACTTGTGTTAGTGGACACTATTAATAATGCTGCACAGCCCTTGTCGAAATCAAGTTGCAGGGCCTGCGTAAAACCACAAACATTTCAGGTTAATTTCATTGGAGATATCCAGCCAAGAAAGAACACGACATGCAGTTCATTGGTTTCCACCACACAAATCTAATTCCTTCAAACTTTTCCCGTTTGATGCTGTTCAGATATTGAAAAAGTGTGAATTATAAATCAAATTTTTGTTGGAGAAACTCTAGTCTTATACTCTCCGATCAGATTTAACTGTCATAATTTCACTTTTTTATAAAATTTAACCATATGATATTATAAAATAAATGAATGACAATTAACAAAAATTTTTTTTATAAATAATACTTATTAAATATTTTTATTTAGATAAAAAAAATTATCATTTATTTACTATGTATAATCATTGGGTTAAAATCTACGTAAAAATCAAATTGGGATACTATAGAGAGTGTTACAAGCTGCAAGAAAAGCTCCAGATAAAAAGAAAAAAAAAAGAGCATAATGTAGCAGGAAACCAGCACTTAGAAATTGGCATGACATGAACCAAGGTAGACCAATGATTAAAAGCACAAAATCATCAAACTTGGAAGTTGGTACTTGGTAGTGTTAAAGAAGACTCAAGTTAAAATGTTAAATATTGTTCCAAGTACCAACCAAATTTCCCTTCTCACTATCTTTAACATGTATGATTTTAGATGTATAAATTTACTAACTCAATGTATGCTAGAAATAGAATAGAAGATGTAATAAATAACAACATGACGCCAGACTCTCCCAATTTTGGTTATTGATCAACCCTGCTTTGATAGATATAAATATTATTTCAATGTCATACATAGGAGGTAGCAAAAAGCTACAGTCTTGTGGTTAATTACACTAGCTACTTTCAGAATGGCTCCTACCAAACTATGTGCTTCCATAATGCCGGACGATCTCTTGATATCAGGAGAACTCTAGATGACAGATAATCAAAAGTAGGAGAATAAAGGTCATCTGTGCCAATGGTTTCTCTGGGAGTGGCACCATAATCACCTGGTGAAGGCAGGGGGTTATCATCCATCGAGGCATCAAATGCAAATAGCCCTAGTCCACAAACACCCATGACATGGTTTGAACTTCCCCAAACTTGTTTGATGGCTGAATGATGCAAGTGAGCATTGGATTCAGGCAAAGAATAAGCGGCATACAGCCTTCCTCTACGCAATGAGAACTGTTGCACCTGAGAACAGGGCTGCTTCAGACCAGCTGATTTCACATTTGTGCAGCCAAGAAAGACTGAATCCCCACGAGAGAAGACCGAATGCACATTACTACAAGTCTTTGGTATTTTTGCACCTATACCAGATGGGTGTCGAAGGTCCAAAATATTAATAGAATCAGGGGTGCAGAATACACCATCATTTCCTTCAACTTCAGAGGAACTTACTCTGCATTTCAAGTATTAATAGAAACCGTGAGAAAACTTTGGCATGGTATTTTATATTAGTGCACAAACACAATCAACATAAGTAGAAAGAACAAAAAAATAGAGCAGGAATTTACTAGTAAACAATATAAAACTGGTGAATGACAATCTGTGTTTACTTACATCATCTTCAGGGGAAAAACCATGTGAGAAGAGAACAGCAAATGCAGAAAACTTTCAAGAATATGAGATATAATTAGTAAATGCATGTGACAAAGACGTTACCTTTGTCGAACCCCTCCAACTAGTTCAGCATCAGTGTTATTCACATGAAGAGCAGTGATTTTTTGACCAGATGAAGACACAGATTGTAATGCTTGAGGATGTAGAGAGTTTACGTCCCACAAAGAAATTGTTTCTGCTTCAGCCACAACTATCTTCCCTCTATTTCTCCACTGCAATGGACTTGAATAATCCATTGGTATTACAGGCTTCTGTACCTCCCACCTCATTATTTGTTCTCCATCACGGATATCATAAACTTTGACAACCTTCTGAGAGCTGGCAGTTGACATGATAAGAGGGCCACAAGGCTTATACCACCATTGCCGATTTTGAGGTACCAATGTATTACACAAACTATTTCCTCTAGTCACAGGGTTATTTGATAAGGGACCAAGCACGGTTCTTGAAGTTGTTGTCCCCGCAGCCTCAACATGAAAAGCTCGAACATCTTTAGTGTAGAAATCCCATGAGCAAAACCCTGATTCCAGTGAATTTCCAGCAGATGCAGCCACAACATATCTGCCAGAGCAGCCATCAGCACTAGGAGCACGGATAATCCAGCAATCTCTCCACATATTAGGTGAAACTCCTGCTGGAGGCTTGTAAACGGCCTTCTCCTGAAATAATAATGGAACACCAGAAATGTATTAGCAAGATGCTGACTTGTCTGCATCACAATGCTCAGATGAACAGTGAAATATAAAATATTTTCCCATTATGTTTCAGTGAAATACGCAAGAGCTAAATGAATGAGTGACCAAAAGATCTTAATGGCCAAATTGTGCACCGGAAAAAAGTGAACAATCAACATCAAATGGCATTTACCTCAGAGTTAACAATGTCATAGAAAGAACAAGAGCCATCATCATGAGCAAGAACTGCCTCCCCCTCTGACACAAACCATCCAGCGGTTGTAGCCTTGCAGCCTATCTTATTAAGCTGATGACCGTTAATATCTTCAACCTCGTCATCAGTCATACTGGACTGTCCATTCTCCTGATCATCAAAGTCCTCAAGTCTTTCATCAGTCATGAGAACAAGCTCAGCATCACTCTTAGCATCAAACATGGTTGAAGAATCTTTTAAATGTGAAGCATGGGCACCATCCATCTCTTGAATCTCACCGTGTTCCAAACCAGCTGGCCCCTTCCTGGTGTTAACTTTATTTTGCTCCCTATCAAGCGAAGCCAAGAACTCTATAGCTATTGGGTTATCCTCCATAGAGCCCAAGGACTTCTGATCTTTTTTCAATTGACTACTAGGATCTACACTATTTGAGGTTTCCTGCTTCCGATTGCTGCCTGATGATGCCTTCAATGATGCCCGGTTTCTAAGCAATTTATGATGAGGAAATAATCTATCTTCCAATTCTCCACTATTTAATCCTTTAACTGAAACATTGACTTTTCCCCCTTGCTTACCCTGACTCTTCTCAACAATTTTCGCATCTATTTTATCAATTTTAGAACTTTTCAAGACACCAGCCTTGCCATCTGAATCACCAGCAACATGATTCATAGCCTTCTCTATACCAGAAATCTTGTCCTGGATATCCGAAAGTATCACCTTTGACTCATCTGGGTTATTCAAGTCCAGCATCTCCTTAGTCATCTTAATATCAGAAGCAATTCTCTTCACCTTACCCTCTAAAAAAGCAAGCCTTTCATGAAGCTTGCTTGGATATTTGACACCAACCCCGCAGCTCAGACCTTTCTCTTCACTTACACCTTTCTCTTTTGGAGCTTCCAAAGCCTTCCCCTTACGCAAAGACTTGTCTTTTACCATCTTTGCAAAACGATTTTCAGTTTTCAAAACAGAACCAGATTTCAGTTCGGATTTCTTTCCAGCTTTAACACTAGCTTCAACATTTGAACCAAAATCTGAACAATTCTTTTCGGTACAAGCCTTAAAACTACAATTATCTCCATTAATCTCACTTGATTGCACCAAATCTGAGCTCAAGTTAACGTCTTTTCCATATTTTCCACTCAAAGCCCTGACGCCTCCTGCTTTCTTCCCACTTTCCTTCACTTTCAACACCAAATTCTCACCAAATTGACAACTTTCATTGCAATTTTTAACAGTCCTTAACCCACTTCCGCTTCTCTTCGCTTTCAAATCCCTAGATCCCTTGGTGTCCCTATCTGCAGAAACCCTAGAAACCCTATCTCTCCTCAAATCTGAGACTGAGACAGCTCTAATAAACTCAGATGGGCTAGGGCTCCTACCTCTTGGTGCTGATGACGTCGACCACCGCACCCTGGCTTCGCGATCTCCACCTCCTCCAACCACCGCCGGCTTCTCGACTCGCGGTACAGGCCGGATCACAGGCTTCTGGGCTGACAACGCCGCCCGTGAAGAAACAGTGTGCCTGGAGTTCTCTTTGCCGGAAGATGACTTTTTGAGGGTGGGATTCGAGATTGGGGTGAGGGATTTCGCCGGTTTTTGGGTGCCAGCGTTCAGGTCTCTTTGATTGCGAACTGATGAAGCGGACATTGAAACCTTTCTGGGGGGAAATAAATAAACAGAGAAACAAATTAAATTTGAGATTCTCGTTTTTCTCTGCGTTCTTTTATTGGTTTTGCAGGATCAGAGAGAAAACGGATGAAGGCGTCTCTCAGTCTCTGCCGTGCTGTGTTTAGATGGGAAGGGGGATGGTATTGGGCGGGAAATGAATCACATTTTGATTTTTGAATTTTTTCCAGAGGTTATTGACTTTTTTTTTTTTTTATCTTGTTGACTAGATTTATCTTAGATTGATATTTTATCTGTATTTGTAAAAATACAATTAAATATCAAATATAAAAAATACATACCTATTAAGTATTGGGTAAATATTAGATATAAAGGTCAATACTTATATATTTAACTTGTATATCTGACCCATATATTTACTTTATATTTTAGTTTTATATACTTAATTTATAATATAATGTAATAAAATTAAAATGTTTATTTTTTTTTTCTTTTGATAGTAAAGATTTAATTGAAAGAAAATTATGTAAGTTTTTGTTTGTATTTCTTTTGTTATTGTATATATAAATTTGTGTATGTGTGAGTGTATATATTCACATATTTTATTTTATATATAAACTTGTAATTGTATATTAATTTATGTATTTTCAATGTAAAAGTTAATAAATGTATAAATATATCTATAGACATACTAATACCCGACAAGTTAAGTAACAGACATAAATTTTCAATACTAAAAAAAATAAAAAATAATATTTATTCATTTTACTTTCTAAAAATAAAAAGAAATATTATTTCAAAACTATTTCATTTTAATAAACACCTATTATAAAAAATTAAAATATTTTATTTTTAAAACATAAATTAAAATATTTTTTTATCTTTTTTTCATAATTTTTTAAAAATAACACGAAGAAAC